TTGAGCGCGGCCTAGAGGAGATTTTGAAGAGAATTTTCACCCCAACTTCATAGGTTAGTAGATTTTAACTTGTTTTCTTTCTTTTTCATAAACACCCATTGATTTTGAACCTTTAATCAATGCTTTTTCATGGTAGAAATTAGGGATTTTAGGTTTTAAAAAATGGGGATTTTGAGAATTTGAGATTTAGACCTCAAATTGAGGTCGGATCTCGAAACTAATCACATAATCGGGCTCGGGGGTGAATAGGTAATTGAGTTTTGGTCTGAATCTCGAGTTTTGAGCAAGCAAGCTTAGGGTTGACTTTTATGAGTTTTTCCAAAATCATTAAAGATTGAATCTTTTTCACTCGTGGGTAATTTTTAAATCTCATTTTAAATTGTTTGAACTATATTTGGTTAGAATTGATCGGTTTGGAGGCTAATTCTAGAGAAAAGGCCCATGTTGAGCTTTGATTTGATTGTGGAGTGAGGTAAGTGTTGGATTCAACCTTGACTTGAGAGAATTAGGAATTTTTGAACTATGTGTTGTGTGGATTATGTGAGAAAATGGCGTATATGCAAGGTGACGAGGGTATATACGCCGTCAAAATATCTATTTTTCATGTTTTTCGCTATTTCGTGAATTATCTTTCTATGACTTGACTGTTACATGCTTTATATGTCTTCTATGCCATACTTGTTATTTGCCATTTAATCATTCTCATTCTAAATTGTTCGTCTCTTCCATGACTCCATGCTTATTTGCTACTTGCCTTTAATTGTTTTACTAGCACATTTTGATTGTCACATGTTTTACTTGTCCTATTATTTTTTGTAATATTTGTTGCATTCTTTGATTGTCTTGTGGTCCTTTATTGCCTTGTACTTCTACTCTTTTGATGTAGAAATTCTTGTAAATTGAGTTATTGGATTGTTTATGTTAATTAAAATTGTTTGGGGAGCGGGTTGCATGCCGCAACTAAAATTAAAAGATAAAGAATTGAAATGGTGGAATAAGACGGATTATGATATTAATAAATGATGATATGGTGGGATTTGGTTGCGTGCCGCGAAGGATTATATATGTGGTACTTGACATTGATAAATGATGATACGGTGGGATCGGGTTGCAAGCCGCAACAGTTTGTATATGGTGTACTTGTTGTTAGTGTTGAGTAGGCCTCGGCATTTTTATATGAGATTATGAGATGTGTTATTCTGAGCTTTCTGATGTTAAGGTTTGAATTCATTTTCATGATTTAATTGCTTTAGTTCCAATTCCTGCTTCTTTTCCTGTTATTATTATTATTATTACTGGGTACATGTTATTATAAGTGATCCGCTTTAGACTCGTCACTATTTCGTCGAGGTTAGGCTCGGCACTTACAGAGTACATGGGATCGGTTATACTCATACTACGCTCTGCACTTCTTGTGCAGATATCGGAGTTGGTCCTAGCGGCATTCAGTAGCTTTTGCTCGATATCAGTTGCTAATAGAGACTTGAGGTACAACTGCATGGCATCCCCAGTCCTGAAGTTCCCATCCCTCCTATCTTTATTGTTTTATTGAGTTTCAAAATAATGTATTTTATTCAGACCATGTTTGTAGCACTCTAGATGTTCATGTACTTGTGACACCAGCTTTTGGGTTATGTTTAGGCTTCGTTGTTCGGTATCATTTTACTCTACTTCAGACTTATATCATTATCATTGTTAATATCTGATTATACATTGTTGAAATCAGTTAATTTTTTGTTTCACGCCAGCTTGCCTAGCAAGTAGATGTTAGGCGCCATCAGAACCTCGAGGTTGGGATTTCGGGTCGTGAAAATAGTTAAACGGCTCACATAAGCAAAATAACATAATTAAGTGCATCGAGTATTATAAGGACATAGGAAGCAGGTAATACATGTGACAATAAGAATATACAATTAAGGCAAATAGGAACAAGTGGCAGGTAAGAAGATTATTGAGTAAGAAATGAACAAATCAAGCAAGTAACAATTAGATAACAATTTAACAAGAAAAGCATATATGTCAAGTAGGAACATGCAACAGTTAAAGCATATAACAAGAGATAACATGGAATAACGAAGATATGAAAATAAATAGCCCAATCGCGCATGCTAAATCCCACGACGATGCATATACACTTGTCACCATGCATATATGTTGTTTTCCCAAAATAATCCACATAAACAATATTCAACGAGTCCTAATTCTCTCAAGTCAAGATTAGATACGACACTTACCTCTTTCCGCAATCAAATCAACACTCAACAAAGGTCATTCCTTTAGAATTAGCCTCCAAACCAGTCGAATCTAGCCAAATATTGTTCAAATAATTCAAAATAAGCTTTAGAAACTACACACGAGTGAAAACGATTCGATCTTTGACAAAATTGGAAAAAGTCAACAAGATTCAACCCCGGGCCGCCCAGTCAAAACCCAAGTCCAAAGGTAGATCTTGACTACCCATAACTCCATGAGTCTATATATGTAGTTTGTTTCAAAATCCGAGTCCAATTCGACTCTCAAATCCCAAATTTTTAATATTTCAAAATATAGACAAAATTCCCAAAAATTTCTCTTAGATTCTCATGAATTTGATGTTAAACCTCATGTATAATCATGTAATATAATTGAAATAGATCAAAATCACTTACTCAATGATTGTAGGTGAAAATTCCCTCTCCAAATCGCCTCCTACCAAGTCTAGGGTTCTAAAATGAGAGAATGATACACAAATCTCGATTTTCATACCCTATATTCAGGCGCAGATATCGCAATTACGACACTGGGTTTGCAATTGTGATCCCTCGTAATTGCGAAGAATGACTCGCTATTGCGGCACTTGTTAGCAAAAAGGGAAGTCGCAAATGCAACATTGACTTTGCAATTGCGAAGTCTGCTCCCATCGCAAATGCTCTGTCCTAGGTTTCCAAGGGTCGCAAATGCGACCAAGATGATCGCAAAAGCGGTCCAATCCAGTTGCAAATGCGAGCACTTTCCTCACAAATGCGATGTCACCCAGCCTAGGCCTGTGTTGGCAAATGCGAACTATTGTTCCCAGAGAGATTTTCTTATAAGGTTTTTAATGAGGCAGCTAGCAATGCGTATTACTAAATATGTGCTCTTTTTTCTTCACTAGAATTTTTTTCTCACGGGTTTTTTTCCTAGTAAGGTTTTAATGAGGCACATTATCTTTTAATTAATATCCAAGGGGTAGTGTTAAAATATATTATATTGTGGATGTCCATTTAGTACTAAATTAGCTTCCTGAAGAAGCGTATTCATATTGGACTCCGCCGTAAATATGTTATCTATTTAGTACTCTGTTAGAAATAAGCCTCCCGAAGAAGCTTATAATTTTGGTACTCCGTTGTGAATAAATATTACCACACTACAACATTTTATGCCTACAGCCACACTAATTTAGGCAACGCTTAAAAAGTATTGTCAAAAGTATCTGTAGGAACACTTTTTAGGCGTGGCTTTTGAGTATAGTCTTCGGCCACAGCTTTTAAGGTAACACTTATAAAGCGTTCCTTTTAAATATAAAGACAACATTTTTTAAGTGTTGCCTAAATCTAAAATTTTTGGCCATGCTTCTTAGGTGTATTGCTACGTTTTTAAAGGGTTGTTATATTGTCATATTAAATACAATACTTTACAAGCATACCCTAAAAATTCTTTATAAAATATTTCCCCAAAAATTTCCCTCCAATATTGCACTTTATAAAATATTTTCCCCAATTCTAATAATTCTAAAGACGTTCAGTTAGGAACTAAAGGCAAAAGTCTAAAAATTTCACTCCAAAATTTCCCCCCAGATATTATAATTAACGAAAATATTTCCCCCCAGTACAATATCATCGTCCTTTTCCCAAATTTTTCTCTCACTGCGCGCAGCTTCACCTTAACCTAATTTACTCCTTTCAATTCTCTGTTGCATGTGTCTTCAGATTACTCTCACCCATATATTGCAAATCTCCATCCCTTTCTCTATTGGTAAGTATTTCTTTGCTCAAAACTTCTCTATTTTTTTCAAATTTTTGTTTTGTTCTAAGATTCAACTTTTCTAGTTTCTTAGTAATGGGGATGAAAAAATAATCTTTTATTGTGTACAATATCTGGGTACCTCTGTACAATCTTTCTTTTATATTCAAAGTTTGAACTTTTTATAATTTCAGATTCTTGGGCTAAAAAGAAGTAATTTTGTTTTGTTTAATTTTGGGCATGCTTCGTTAATTTGGGTTTTCATTTACACTGATTTGGCTTCTGGGTAACTATAGATTTATTGATATGTACTGTTTTGGACCTTTATTTGTTTTCTTACTTTGTGTTTTTTTTCTTGGGTTAAATAGATTAATTTGGGTTCTGGGTAAACGAAATTAGACTAATTTGTTTGCTTACTTTGTGTATTTCGTTGGTTAAATAGACTAATTTGTTTGCTTACTTTGTGTATTTCGTTGGTTTTCTTGTGATTAATTGTTTATGGGTTCTTTAAGATGTTATGTTATTTGCACCAATTTAGTTGTTTAGCCATCACAAACTTCTCCTTTAGTTTTGGTTGTGTGAGTATTTTTCTTTTGGGGTAGTGGATCTTTGTGTCGGTGCTTAAATTTTGAGATGATAGTAGCTGGAAAAATAGTGTAACGTGAAGGTTACTAAATTTACCATTGGGTCTGATCTAGTCAACTCTCTATTCATAGAAAAAATCATTATCCGAAAACAGTAATAATATTTACATGTATATTGGATTTGAGTGTTTTCCAATTTTTATTTTCACCTATCGCATTCATCATCATTGATACGACTAGGAAAAAAATTATTGCATCAATAAATGAATACAGATGTATTTTTTATATTGACATTTATAAGTTTTTTTGTGATACAATCACGCATCTTAGTTCTCTTTCATTGAAATCAAGTATAGAGTGCACAAAACAACTGACCAAGATCAGTTGCAAATAAGGAGCAGACAGATACTCGGGCCCCAAAATTATATAAAAGTTAAATTCTTGGTCAGACCTCTTATTATTCAGAAGGCAGCCTCTTGGATGTCTGTTACAACTACACGTTTAGGTATAAGAAAATTTATGTTCAAGGCTAGCAGGAGATCAACAAGGTGCAAAAGAAAAATAAGTCTTGAAGAAAATATCATTTTTAAATGAAGTTTCTGATGTCCAGAGACTTCACGCTGGGCATCTCCTCATCCTTGAACTCCTCCCTATTCTTCTGAGTTTCCATTGCTTCAAGAGCATCCTTTTTCAGTTCTTCTAATTGTGCCTTTGTAATCTTCAGCTCTAACTGTTCTTCGTATTTAGGCAGATCTTCCTTACGAATGCCAAGCTTCTGGTTGATCTTATCAAACTCAGCTGTTAGAAGAGCTATTCCCTTTTTGTCATTCCTCATTAGTGGCTTTTTGATTTCTTTCTCAACTTTATCCAGTGCTGCCATCTGCAGATCCTCTATACCTTGCTCATCGATAAGGCCCCTCTTGACACGCATCTCCTTCAGTTTCAATAAATAAGTCCGAGCATCTGGAATTTCATGAGTTTCTACTTCAATGTTGAACTTAATTGTTTGAGACTCTGATAAGAGATTAGCTTTTTGGCTTACAGAGTTCATGACTTTGGCATACTCAGATACAGCAGCAGGATCTTCTGGATCTATGTTGATCTTCTCCTTTTGTAGAACACCAATTAATGTCTCGAGCTTGTTCTTAACCTCATAAAAGATGTCCTTCAACACCTGATCTCCCTTCAGTGCAGTGGGAGCAATAGCTTCTTTGGCAAAGGAACGAATTGGAATTGCATGCTTGGGGCGAAGGACAACCTGACTAGCGCATAACTGGCGAGTGGATTTGGAAAGCAAGCGAGAAGCGAGAGCCATTTGATGGATCGAAATTACGGCTTTTGTCGATGAAATTCGAAACAGAAGCAGTGAGTTCTATCGGAGTGTTCAAAAGCTCTGTACTGCTGATGTTTCGAGGGACGAGTTCTATTACCACGACGTTTTCCGCTCGTCTTTTATGGGAATACACATTTATAAGTTAAACATAATAGCTAGTTAGATTTTCTCTTGCAAAACCGACTCCCTCTGCATATTAGACTGCCCGGCCCTTATCAGTACCTTCAAAACGTGAGAATTAGAGAGTGCTGCCTGCTGCACATCAACAGAAAACTGGGCTGCTGCTTCACTAGACTGTCCAGCTTTGTCACGAGCATCATTCACGTTTTTTGCACCTGTAACATCACCATCTTCAACCTGTTTACCCAAAGCCTTCCTAACAGCAGCAACTTCAGTTCTTGTGACCTGCTTGTGACTGATTTTTTATCCTAAATTGTTTGCTGATATGTATACATTTTCCTTTTACACATTTGCTAGTTTACAACATATGTCCTTTCTTAGTAAGCTCATTACTTATCCTCCTTATTTTTGTCTTTCTGATAAAGTACAATACCTATTCTTCTAGTTAGTAATTACCTTAACATGGGCAAGCATCATATAAGAATGTGAGTTAGCAAAATAAAGAGAATTGACAAACAAGAAGAAAGTTGAGAAATATTGACTGTGCAATGATATGTATAATTCGGCACCAAAAGATATATCCGGAGAAGAATTAAAAACTACTCAAGGGAGTTTGTGTTCTATCTCATTAAGTTTATCATTTAAAAAATTTCACTATACTTGCCAATGCGCACATGACACTTTTTGGTGCGCAGAATTTATATTATCTTCATAAAAAACTTGGTTTAAAATTTTACTACTTTCTGTCTTTGTTTTGTGGATCCTACTAATTTTACTTTTTTATTCTAGAAGATAAGTCACGCTCGGGAAGATTTGTGGTGGACTTGAAGTTGGATTTGGCTTAGCTTAAGTGTCATGACGAGGTAAGAAAGTCTTATTGTTTTACAACACATGATTTTACAGATTTATTCTTGATGTTTAGGATTTAGTTTTACAATTGGCATATGGTTAGCATCTCTATCCTTTTGCTTATTTTTGGTAGCAGATTCACCAATCAGTTCCTTCCTAGTCCCTCTTGGATCAATCATATTGGTCTCCAAATCTTTCAAAAGTACTGCAGCACTTTGAGTTCCCACTGTACCTTGTTCCACAGATTGCTGATTGTTGGCATCCTCCACAGTTATGCTTAGGCCCTGCTCTTCAGAGTTCTTTTTTGCATTGGCCTTGCCATTAACACTCTGATCCTCTTCATTGTCTGCATCACCATTGTTTTCTTCTTCACTTTGCATTCCATCAGGTATTTCCCTTTTTCTGAATCTTCTTCAGTTTGTTTAGCCCACAGTCTTCCTCCACTCCATTTGACCCTCTCATTGCTTTTGAATTTTTCAATTTCATCATCAATTATTTGCTCCTTGTCAATATGTTGTGCTAATTCTCCTTCAACTCTAGTGTCCTGAGTAGGAACCTCTTGGCAGGAAGTATAAATCAACCAATGTTAAAATTCAGGACAATGTCCCCAGGCTTTTATCAGTCATATTGTTCTCAGGGTCTTTTCCTAGCTCAATAAATCTTGATAATATGTCTTGCTTAATCTGGTTTATGTTAAAAATCATAAAGACATCTGTTAGTAGTGCTGAGATGCACTTGTAAAAAAGAAACAACAGTTAGTAGTAATGCAGATGTTGCTGAAGGTGTGTGATTGAGCACTTGCTTTCAGGTTCTTGTGGTTTCTACAACATGGGAGTGTGGTGTGTGAGCATGTGGTGGGGGTAAAAGGTTAGGATTCTTGGTGATTTTTGTACCTTCTGTCTGGAGAGTTCCCTTGCTTATTTCTTGATCTTGCACTTATGTCCTTAAGATGCAAACTCCCCACAGCATGATCATGTTCTATATTCAAAGCATCAAAGGTGTTTGAGCAGTTGATTTTCCTTGAATCCTCACATAGTGCACCAGTAAAGATTTCTGCGATAATCTGATTTTCATGGTCTGGATTTTTCTTTTTGTTAAGTGATGGATGAGATCGAGATACCTCTGTCCACTCTCAATCATTTAATTGATTCACAGCTTGAGAACCTGATTCTAACAGATGCGTGGCCTCATTCTCATGCACAGCAGATTTGTGCACATCAGTAGCAGCTGCAACTCCAAAACTTGACGCAACTGTAGCACCTTTTGTAGCACTAGGAATATTAGCTGATTTTTCACCCTTAGTTTTCTCAACTAGCTGCACCTCAAGACTCCTCTGCTCCCTGCTACATCATTTTCACGACCTGATGCGACAGTAGGAACAACTCCCCTTGTACCATCATCAGCTTGGCCTACAACATTATGTGTAATCCCAGAAGACTTAGCATTAACATGCACACATCAGTTCTGTTTGTTTGAAACTTCATATTAAATTGGTTACGATCCTTGTTGCTGAAAACTCTATTGACATTCTTGGCTAAATTCTGAGGTCTGCTAATTTTTTTTTTAATCTAACTTGACTTGTTGAAAGTTATTTTAGTGTTCCTTCTATCTGGACGTGTAAGTGATGTGCAATAATATTTTTTTGACAGTCTGAACTTCAGAATCGTCAAAGTTCCGGAGAAACAACAGATGATGCATTCATGGCTGTATTTGGAAAGGAGCAGCCCGGTCGGGTTAGATGCTATGGTAGATCGGTGACGACAAGCTCTCTGAAAAAAGATGAAGAAATGACCAAGCTTAAACAAAAGCATGACAATGAATAACTTCTCTCAAGGAAGAAATGAAGGAAATGATGAGAGAAGAAATGCGATATTTTTTTAGTCAATTTGTGAAAAACAACCCTGGACTGGATTTTCATGATATACAAGGGTGTGTTGGATCTAATATTCCTTCACCAGTTGATGCAAGTAGTGCACGAGCTATGAGAGGCCAAAATCTACCACATTCTTCTGGCTCAACTCACGCCCCAAGTCTTGAAAAGGTACTTATATTTCCCAATTCCAAAAACTACCTCAATCTTAACTTACAAAATCATGCTTTCTAACCAGTGTATACTATATATATGTTTCTTCCTAATTTTTAATTTCATTTTGAATGTGTAGGAAAATACGGGTGATGCAATTGGATATGGTGGTCACAAATCAATTTGATTCATTAAAGTGAATGGTGAAGACCTTTTGAACAATTGGGATGTTTATTTTTATTGATTCTATAAATATGAATACATTTAGTTTTGTAGAGGTCTTTGCGAGTGAACTCTTGAACCAACAGTGCTTTATTACTATAGACAGTACACAAAGGATGTTTCTTTGTTGAAATTTATTTTAAGTATATGCATTTGAATTATTTTTATTCTATTACTTATTATCTAATTTAATGCTTGATATATATATGTGTGTGAGAANTTACTTTATTATTACTTAATTTAATTAGTCTTGTATATATATATATGTGTGTGTGTGTGTGTGTGTGTGTGTGTGTGTGTGTGTGTGTGTGTGTGTGTGAACAGAATTTGATGCAAACAAATATAGTTTTTTAACCACAAAATTGTGGCTAATATAAGTATTTGAAAAATAATTTTGTAGTGTAGAGAAAATCGCCACGCTTAAAAAGTGTGGCCATAGGGATTGTCAATCTGGCATTGTTAATGATAAATGTTGCTTTAGAAGCCACACTTTGTAAGCGTAGCCTTTAACGTGACAAAGATCACGCTTCATAAGTGTAGTCTTATCTCATAAAAGCGTGGCTATATGAGACAATATAAGTATGGCCTTTGTACAGTATGGGCCACACTTTTAAAGCGTGGCTTCTAAGGCAACACCTACAAAGCGTGGCCAATAGTCAAATGTTACGGTACTTTAGGCCACCCCCCAAAAAGCGTTGCCTAAAGTTGTAAAGTGTTGTCTTTGCCCAAACGCTACACTTCTTGGCATCTTAGGCCACACTTCTCAGGGGTGGTTGTAGGCCTAAAATGCCGTAGTGCCACCTGTAGAAGATTCTCTGTAGCTGGTAAAATAACATCTTACAAGAAGCTTACACAATAGCTTGTGGTAGGAGCTTACAAGCAACTTATACAGCAGCTTGCAGAAGCAACTTACAAGCAGTTTATACATCAGCTTCCTTTCTACAAAAGATAGAGATTTCAGTTCATCATGTACATGAATTTGAAATTAAATAATACATTAGTCTCTCTGTACTTGTCTTTGGATAATTTACTTTTTAATCTTTATTTTATAACATAAATAACTTAATCGCGGGCATATAAGTAAAACTCTTTACTTGTCATGTTAAAATGCTATCGTAATTCGTAATGCTTCAGGGCATGAGTGAAATTTCAACGTTCGTTTTCTGATAAGGTAACTCATATCTACCAGGCGATTTTCTGCTAATTAACTCACTAACCTGAGTTTTCCTTTCCCTTTTTCCTCTTGTTAGTTGCCCTTCCCTTCTTTTTAAATTTTGCCGATGCATGAACTCAAACTAATTTGACACAGTCTAACTAGTCAATATCTTGCTTCGAGCGTATGAGTTGTCATGAATAACATTTCAAAAAAAAAAAAAAAGACGATTGCATGAGAAATTTTTCAAGAAATTATGTAGGAACGCTCTATATGGCTAAATAGAGAATTCATGTTGTATAAATTACGCATATATTAGGCGGTTCAATTATCCTCCTTGATGATAAAGAATGTTTAAACTAAATTCTACTTCTTCCGGTCCAAAATAAGTGATTTTTTAGCCGTTTTCACACGGATTAAGAAATTCACCTTTTAACATTAATTAACAATGAAATTAATCATATTAACCTTTACTATCTCTTCACATAAATACTCCTGATACATACTCCAACATTATTAACTCCAATGGCAATATTAAAAAAATCACTTATTTTACACAAGAAAAGGCCAAAAAATCACTTATTTTGGACCGAAGAGAGTATTGAATATGACTTGCCGTTATCACTTATCAAAGAAAGTTCGTGAATAATTAATTTCGTCATGCTCTTGAGGAGTTTAGCATTATGCAC